TGAAGTGAGCTTTGACTCTGGAAAGCTTATACCCTAAAAATCTTGTTGGTCTCTAAAGTGCCACTGGGCTGGAATCTGGCTCTTCTACGGCAGACAAAAAATGGCTCCCCCCCTCGAACTTCCAGCCGTGATAATAAGAATTACTGTACGGCATTGTGTGTAGAATAGCCAGAAGATCCTAAGATTATCCGGCAGCCAGAGGTTCTAGCTCTTTTAGTGTTAAGCAACACTAGGTGGCAAGCTAGACTTGTTTTTAAGGCAAGAGACGTTTCAGAGATCCTAAAATTGTCTGGCAGCCAGAAGTTCTAGCTCTTTAGTATGCACCACTAGGTGGTGAGCTAGACTTGCTTTTTTTAGGAAAGAGGCATTTCAAAGGTGGTTTGCCATTGCCTGCCTCTGTGTCACAACCCTGGTATTCCTTGGAGGCCACCCTTCCAAATACTAGCCAAGGATTGTCCTTTATATTTGCAAAAAATGACCTTTAAACAATAACTTGGTAATTTTACCTTTTATTCTTTCCCCTTACCCCTTTTTTAATCTGTATCTCCTCAAAAAGTTCAAAATAAAAATTATATATATTTAAAAGCTGGCTATCCAGCTATCCAGCAACAGTTATCCTTCTGGAAAGAAATTGGAGTTTTGTGAAGCCTTCGAGACGAAAAAGTTTTTACTTAAGCAGCAGGTTTCGTGGAACAGCAGCCCCGTTTCATCAGATGCATGATGAAACGAACAAACACACAAGATCCGCTTCATTCACCTGACAAAGTGGCCAACAATCCACAAAAATTTGTGCTGGCAATCGTCTGCCAGGTAGGGAACAGGACGGGACAAAGGAGCCAGTTGCCATAATCATGTTTCGTGACGACACTATGTCAAGTCCTGGCTGCAATCACTCTTGTATCAGCAAGATTTGTTTATTAAGAGGTAGAGAGGTTCCAAGCATAGACAGCTTCTGTGTCGGAACTGGGGCCCAAACACCAGTTCCGCCAATATACTGAAAGCAAGAAATTTCACGGATGCCAAGCAACCAATCACTGCTCCCATTCAGCCCGCCACATGTCTGCCCCTGCCATTATGACCGCCCCACCACCGGCATGCTAACGGTTCCATTATCTAAAAGCTCCCCACTACAAGGTCACACAGAATGATGAGATCATATACATCCCAAGGTGCTATCAACACAACTCGGGAGGCCTGTGCGTGAGAACTGTTACAAGCTGACACTAATCCAGCAAAGCAGACAGCCAAACACATCCACTCCCCACCCCAGTTCCCAGCAGAGATGATAGCAGTGGAAAAGAACAAAGTTGCATGCAACATAGAAACTGAATAAGAATGCATGTGAATCCGTAACACAACCAATGGAATAATGAATCAGAACAGGGGTGTAGGAAACAGGAAATTGATGGCAAGCGAGGCCCGAACTTGACAGGTATTTCTGGAAAACACCTCTCTGGAGACATCTTAGCTACACCAATACTGGCCTAACAAAAATTAACAGCGAGTGCTATTACCACGACATTTACTACCTCCCGCTGTGGCTGAGAAACACCTGGCACGCCAGGCAATATGCATCAGGTAACGGCAACCTTGCTAGATTCCACTTGCTAGATTCCACATCTGGTTTCCCACCACCACCATGAGGACAAACCAAATGCCCTAAGACTGGCAGCGATGCTTCAGAATTTTGCTGTTCTTATTCATGTATTAAACATTTATATCCTGATTTTCCTCTTGGTTCGAGGCGGCTTACAATAATAGTTGAAACATCCCCAAAGGTAAAACAGCCAACCTTAAATCCCACCCTCCTCTTAAAAATGGCTGCCATTCAAACCCCCTCAAAAACCCTGGCAAACAGGCAGGCCTAGCAGCGTTTCCAGAAGATCTCCAAGGAGGGGGCCACTCTCACCTCTTCAGGGAGCCCCTTCCACAGAGCCGGGGCCACGATGGAGAAGGCCCTGGGCTCTGGTCGATGCCTGATGGGCCACCCCGAGTGGTGGGATAGCCAACAGAAGGCTGCTTGATTACCAATGTCGGCTTACAGGGCAGGCTCCCCAAGTACTTACCGTGATTCGGCGGGGGACCCAGACGTCTTCGCGGGATCATTCCCGCAGGGATAACAGATGCGTCGCACCATGCCGTCGCCAGGAAGTGATGCCGGGTGACGCTCTGGCAATGGGGCTCGAAACTCGATGGTACCATCGAGTTTTCAGCCCCATTGCCAGAGCGTCACCCAGCGTCACTTCCTGGCGACGGCATGCTGTGTTACCAGGAGGAATGGTCTGGCCGGGGAGCATGTTTTCCCCGCCGGATCACGGTAAGTACATGGAAACCCTATTACAGGGAGATATGGAAGGAGACTGTCGTTCAAAAATTCTTCACTCAGAGGACTACTTTTCCCAGGGTACAATGATAGCACTTCGAAACATAACATCCAAGGCAAGGCCTGTACTCCCTCCCCACCAGAGGACAGCAGTTCAGAAATGTAAGAAAGGCTTAGGATCTAAGTCGGTATAGTTCGGCTTTAACCAAAATTATGCCTCGGTCAAAAACACCTTAAACCAGGGGTGTCGAACTCATTTGTAATGATGGCCGGATCTGACATAAGTGAGACCTTCTTGGGCCGGGCCATGTCTGTCATAAAATGTAACGCCAGGTAGCAGAGATATAAATTTCATAAAGGACACAAACACAAAGGGGTTTTTTTTTAACTTTTTTTAAAAACATGCATCAGCACTCTTGCAGTATTTTGCTTATTTAACAGTGTCTGATAACTGACACCTCTTGCTCTGAATTATTGCATCAAAATGTCTGTGTGCCATTGCAGTCTTGAGTATGCCGTTCAGGTGTGTACCTGTAAGCTGCAAACCTACGATGACGCAGCAGCAGCAGAACTGGAAGCAGCAGCAGAAGACAGTCAGTTCCACTGCGGGCCTATGAGAAGCCCTCCGGGGGCCTGATCTGGCCCCCGGGCCGTAATGTTTGACATTGCCTTAAACGTTGCTACACCAAGGCAGAGCCACAGGACAAACTAATTGTTTTGAAGCCCCCCCAACCCCCGCCCCCAGCAAGCAGTCTCAGTTCATATATTTGCAGCTTTTTCAAAGAGTCAACAAGATTCCATCCGATCACTTACCACAGAGGTGATCTGATTATATCGAAGATTCAGTTCCGCCAGCGATTCCAGCCTGTCGATGTTTTCCACGCACATTAAGTGGTTTCGGGCCAGGTTTAACACTCTGAGGTTGCTTAAATGGTTGAGATTTTCTATTCTGGCAATCTAGGACATCAATTTTTAAAAAGCCAGTGCTTTAACATATAATATTTTAAAAAGGGAGGCTGCCCCCCCTCACTTTCACTAAGAATGGAACTTGCACACCAGAACCTTGTCCTCTGAAGAAGAACACATTGGATTTCTACCCCGCCCTTCACTACCCGAAGGAATCTCAGGGCGGCTTACAAAATCTCCTTTCCCTTCCCCTCCCCACAGCAGACGCCCTGTGAAGTAAGGTGGGGCTGAGAGAGCTCTTTCGAGAACTGCCCTTGAGAGAACAGCTCTGAGAGAACTTGTGACTGACCCAAGGTAACACCAGCAGGTGCAAGCGGAGGAGCGGGGAATCAAACCCGGTTTTCCCAGATTAGAGTCCGCGCACTTAACCA